CAAGAGGCTTTTCTAGAATCACAAAGCCCACATATCATCAGAGGTAGAATCTGAACCCAGGTCCTCAGGACTCCAAGGCTGACTGGCTCTCTCTATCCTCTATTCCCTAAGCCAGCTTTTGATTAAAAATCTAAATTGTTCATCCTTAAGTTTGCTGTCAATCTATTCACAACTTAAAACAATTAGAAGAATCATCATACACTATCAACAAAAAAGAGAAAAGAAAGAATAAATTATATTAAATTTTTTTTTAAGAATGTCCTAAACACTTGTGACATTCACTTCATAAACACAACTGAGAAACATACAATTAGTGGGAGATATGAAACATGGTTTCTGCCCTCAAAGCTTCCTGAAATTGGAAGAACTGTGATAAGTTAAAAAAAAAAAAATAACTATTGCCATAAAAAGAAAATACTTTTCATGGACAAGATAAAGACTGCTAAAAATTGGAAAAGATAACTTTTTTCATTGAAGGCTATATCATAAATATCATCAAAGAAATACAGTAAGTCTGTAAGACTTGAGTATTTATACTATATTATAAAAAATCCACCCAAAAAATGTTTTGAGGACTTTTTCTATTTACTTCCAGTGGCCCTGGAAATCTTGCCTCTATTGATGAATTTTGGCAAATATATATTGATATACTGAGAGACAGACTTCTTTTAGAATCACAGAAATTCCCAGAGATAAGATACTGCAACACAGCCTATACTTATGAGATGTCACCAAAAGTAAAGAAATGTATCTCAAGAGAAGAAGAAAAATATTCCTCAATGACTTGAGGGCTCACCCATTGAAAACAGGATACAATAAAGGGAAGGCTTAGAAAAATGAATTGTTTGTTAAAGGCAAGTTTAATATACAATTTGAAAGTATGGTTTCACTATCAAAAACTTATCAAAATCTTGTGAACTCAATACCAAATCCAATAAAAACAAGTGACTGCAGCAAAAGGACACCAGAGTTTAAAAAAAAAATAAATTTTTTTAAGATGTAAAATATTGTAAAGTTTATCGTATAAGTCAAGTGATTATTTTACTTTGTCAAGTAATTCACACATACTTGCATCTTAAATTGTGGATACGATCAGAAAAGTGACTAAGAACCCACCCACAATAAAGATAATTTCCAACCAAACCTAAAATTATTACCTTGTTACAGTAACTTGAAAGTTCACACACGCTCAGATTGTAAAAACAATAAAGATACCAGATCACAATATGGACAATTCTCACTTTAAGTAAATTCAAATTATACAAATGTAACTTTAAGTAAATAATTCTGAAAGAAATCCTCACTCCAAAAGTGAGTTAACCTAAGTTAACTTATGTTAACTTTAATGTATAGTACTGTGTTCTCCTTCCCCTCCAGCTCCTCAGCTGGGAGCTCCATGGTCTGCCATTCTCCACCAAGAAAAAAAAAACCCTAAAAAAAAATCCTCCAAGTGAAAGCAAAAGAATAGCTCCCCCTGGATCTGGGACTTAGTTTGAGTCACAGGGGTGGGGAACCTGTGGCCTCAAGGCCACATGCGACCCTCTAAGTCCTCAAGTGCAGCCCTTTGAATCCAAACTTCACAGAACAATTCCCGTTAATAAAAGGATGTGTTCTATAAATCTTGGACTCAGTCAAAAGGCAGCACCCAAGGAACTAGAAAGGTACATGTAGTCTTGAGCTGCAGGTTCCCCACCCCTGCTTGAGACCCCTAGCACCTAGAGAGGAGACCTTTGCTTGCCCTGACCATCTGCCCTGTCTGTCTTATGTCCAATGTCCAGTCTGTTGTCTGTCCTCTCCTGTCTGTGTCCAACCTCCACGTGGCTGGCCCCACTCCATGTTGTTCTTCTTGCTCTCACTTCTCTGTCCTTGCCATTGTGTATTCTTGATACACAATGATTCTTGATTGTGGTAGCCCCCTCCCTTTGCAGGCAACACCCCTGCAATAATTTGTAGAGGTCTACAGAATGTCCACAAAAAGCAAGAACTATCTGTTTAAGTAAAAAAAAAAAAAATGCCTAATCACACTCCTCAAAAAATAAAAACTTTTTTCTTCATATAAAAACCAAGAATTCTTTCATTCCTTCAAGTTATAAAAAATCAAACACTTACATCTGTTCCCTAAACAGCATAGTAAACTAATAGTATGGGAATTATTTAAAAGTTAGACTCTTACCATTTAATTTACAAGTTAAAAGATAATGCCATAGAAGTTAGACATTTTTATTACTGGTCTAAACACTGGAACACTGACAAGCAACTACTTTAGCATCAACAGCAGTGTCAGTTTTCCAAGTAAACAACAAAAAGTTTAGCCCTTCCTATGGTGAAATGTAGCTCTTTGTAGCAAACTCAATTTTTAACGATCAAGTAACTTATGATCTAGTAAATTTAAAATTCTTATAAGATTATTTTAAGGAACTATATTATTTAACATATTATATTTACTTTATTACCTTCTGCAGTACTTGGAAGATCTATGATTTCTTCAATGTGGGTATTCCAACCACAACCCCTTGATGACTTGGTACTCAGTCTTTGAGACTTGCTTTGGCTAAAAACACTATCAAAATGACCAAAAAAAAGTATATACCTTATCCAGGTTAATGGTCCTAAAACACCATTTCATGTCACTCTGAAACTCAAAAGTTTATTTTAAAGACCAGAGCCAGATAGTTAGGATAGTAGTTTTCCCATCTAAATCATAAAACTTTCTGACTATTACGAGATTTTAAAAAATATTGGTCACAGCATAGAGGACAGAGCTATACCTCCAAATACTCCCCAACCAAAACAGACTATCTTTAAAAAATGGCTCCAGGAAAGCTATCTATCCTGCTCTCCCTGAGAAAAAAAAATTCACCCAGAAGTTTTAATTTAACCATTCCCTCACAATCCTATACCACTTTGGTCATTGTATTTGCATTAAAGTCAACTCTCCTTTGGGAATAAGGTTGTTAGGTTAACAAATGGAATTAGTATAATAGAGAAAATGATTTGTGTTCAAATACTATCACAGCCATGCTTAAAATGTAAACAATAGCCATCTTACAAAATCCTGTTCTCCATCTCTCTCCCCAAAATTGTCAATATGGCATTTAGGTTAATGTTCAGTTATAAACACTACAGAAGAAAAAACCACGTGTGTGTGTGTGTGTGTGTGTGTGTGTGTGTGTGTGAGAGATTGTGTTTTTCTACATTCACAGGAATTTAAATGTGGATTCTAAATTAAATTGCACTGTACTTTGGATTTACTTATTTGCACTCTTAAATTCAGTACTTAATCAGTCACAAGTAGACAAATCTGAAACATGCTTTAAGTATAATTAAGAATTTGCTAATTGTCTCAGATAACTGTTTTGACTTAAGCGTACTTTCAATTTCTGAAAAAAATATTTAACATCAAATTAAATCCTAAAGTTAAATTCAAGACAAGGATTTTGACAATCATCTACCCCTCCCTATTGTCTGAAATCGACAAAACTACTTAGCCTACTACTGATTATCTCTTGAGCTAAGAAGTTTCTTTTCAAAAACAAATACTAATGATTTTACTTACAAATATTATCACAGAATGTTAAGGAATTAAGATCAACAGGAGTTGACCACATTACTAAATCTTGAATTTACCCTCTTATTTCTACATTGTAAACAACCCAATGTTTTCCTAAACTACAATTTCTGATAAGAACAGAGTTACTAGAGTCCTCTTTAAAATTGCTTTAATTTGTGTTATTTGACCCAGCTAGGACGCATTTAGCAGATTTTAAAAGCTTGAAAATAAAGGTTACTGAATACAGAACTTTCAACCACTCAAAAATCATTCCAAACTCAAGCTTGCTACATAATAAAAGATTTGCTTTTGATTACATAAATCACTATTAGAATTCCATCATTAGATATTTATTAGATATTATCTAATTATTAGATAATTATTAATGAGTATATATTATTTTATTATTAAATAATTATTAATAATTATTAGATATTCTAATAATTCCATTATTAGAATTCCATTCAACACATTTTCTCCCTCTACAAAACTTTTGGAGTGAGATGACATATTCAAGAAAATTATTAAAAATCACAATTAAAAATCTTCACAGAGGGCAAAGTTATTTGTAAATGAAAAATTGTCATACTAATAGGATATTATCATCTATTTGCAAATGAGTACACAGTACAATGGTAAATTTATTATTGAGAAGAACATTCTAAAGCACTTATTATCAGTTGTTTTGTTTTTTAATGAGTACCCGCCTCCTACATTCTTAAATAGTAACTTGGGGGAGGAAATCAAATAATCAAGACTTTTTTTTTTTCAGTAAAGCTGAAATAATTCAGCACACAAATAACTACAAATATAATGCCCTGTAAACAATCCTCTTAGGAATAATTAGCATTTCCTAGAGAGCAAGTTCCAACTGAATAAATGTTAACCTACAAAAATTACAGTATCAAGAAAGTTGCTTTTAGTACTATTGTATTAACTACCATGACTGAGGTACTTGACACTTTAAAACCAAGTACTTCAATCATGCAAAAATTTAAATGATCTACCCCTAAAATGTCTTAAATCAATGCCTTTTAAGAAATGTCAAAGGCATCTAAATTTTGAGGTTGAAGGCATGAACTTGTTTCAAGTGTTTCTGAACACAGGCTATCAGAAAATACTGTGTGAAAAGTTAGTCCCGTGCAACTTTAAAAAATGTTCATTGTTATTAAGCAGTTATCATTAAGACAACACAAATTTCCCTCTTGTCAATGATGAAGAATTCTACCTATTATAAGATTCTCCACAGCTTCCATAGAAAATAAAATATTTATTGAATAAAGATACAAAACTATCAAGTGGTTTTACCATATTACCCCATTTAACAGAAACCAATGATTGACACGAACAGTTTACCAATGATTTTAGTGTTAAGAATATAAACAGTACTCACTCAGGTTTACATTGAAAAACAAACAAACAAACAAACAAAAACCACCCTGGACAGCACCTGACAGCAGAGAACTAAACTTGACATAACAGAAACGTGAGAACTGGACGTGCAGGTTGGAAAGGCAGCCTATACAGCAAAGCTACAGCAAAAAGGCAACACCACTGGGTGACACTGTATAAGCATGACCTGTACTACACACCAAGGAAATAAGAAATTATCATGGCGAGCTGGTGTGGCTGTTCAGTGACAATAATTACTCCAGTCACTGGAAGACTGTAAGGCATGCAGCAATCAACACGCAAACCACTCCGAAAGCGCCCTCCCAGGCAGCACAGGAGATGGCTGCAGCTCTTGAGCAAAGTGCAATTCATTTTAAACAGAGACCTGTCCCCCTTCTCTACAGCATCCCAGCTCCTACCTCACCCTTACGTCCAGCTGCGGAGTCCTTACAACTGTTCGAAGGGTGGGGGGAGGATAAGCTCCAGACCGAAGACTGGGCTGCCCGCTCTCCGGGCTCCCCGAGAACCACGGCAGGAGGGGTGCAGCGGAGAAAGGAGGACAGAACTAATCAATACAGAAGGAAGTCATCAAGGAATGATGGGGAATGTTGGGGTGAGCAAACGCGAATAAAGAGGAGTGAGGAAGTTGGTGGGTTCGCGGGGAGAAGGCGCCCCGGATTACCGGCTGGGCTACTCACACTCGGGGAAGCTGCAGCGGGGGCGCCCCCCGCCTCTGGAACACGCCGTCCACGAAGACGCCGTTCTTGCCGAGGCAGCGCAGGTAGAAATCTCCGCCCGTGCCGGGGTCCTCAGCCGGGCTGCGCTGCGAAGGCGGGGGCGGCGGGGGCGGCTGCTGCACCAGGGGCTGAGGCTGAGATGGGTGAGCCTCTGCACTGGAGGCCACGGGGGTCGGGCTACCGCCTGGGGGGGTAAAGATCTCAAGGTGGCGCCGGGAAATGAAGCTCGAGTGGCCCATGCTCACATCTACGGAGCCCTGCGACGAATTCCGCCCGATAGTCACCGACCGCTTCTTCATCAGGTACTCGAACTCGCGGCCCTCCAAGCGGGCCACGGCCCAGTCCCCCGGCGGGGACCCTCTACAGCCGCCACCGCCGTCACCGTCGCCGCCACCACCACCACCGGACCCGGCCGGGGGGGCCGAACCTGTGCTGGAGAGCATCGCCGCCGCCATCCCGGGGCCTGGAAGGTGGGAGGGAGGAACGAGGCTGCCCAGAGCCGGGCGAGCAGGAGAGAGGAGCCTCGAGGCCGCTGGGTGGAAGCCCACGGGCGGAGGCAGCACTGGGGCTCGGACTCCGCCGGCCACAGCGGCTGCACACACCGAGGGGAGGGGGAGGGGAGGGGAAAGGGGGGGAAAGGGGAGGATTAGATGAGAGAACTAGTGAGAAGGTAAGGGGGGAGGGGGAGGCAGCGACGGGGAGAAAGGGGGGAGGGAAGCAAAGAGAAAGGCTCAACTTAGCTTGGCAGCGCTTGTGTCTGCCCCTCTGGACCGGTGACTGACAGCTACCTCCCGCCATTAGGAATGCAGCTCAGCAATGGGGCTATCGACGACTAGCCTATGGCAGGGAACATCGGCCATTATGTTCGGTTGTAGAGCCCTAGAGCAAGCTAGACTTTGGAAAATACGGAAAACCTGGAAGCGGCCGAGCACGGAAATCTGGAATGTGGGTTCTATGCACTAAACCCTAGCCTGGCTAGGGGTAGAGTGGCTGTCCCTAAGCTCCGGAGGGAGGGCGCTACGAGGTCAAGAAAGACAAGCTCCATGGCCCTGGGTGGAGCCACTGTAGTCTTTAAACATCACGCCAGACCCTCAAGGTCACAGAGGGGACGGAAGACATGACAACTGTTTTCTTTCTCCTCTGAACCCTCCACCCTGAGGAATAATCTGAACGTGGCCTCAGGGCGGCTGAAGGTGGCAGAGCGCCCCAGGTCCCAGACGTAAAAAAGGGCACCGGAGTTGCCGAGGATGTGCATGTAGCCTATCTCTGACACCGAGGGGCTTAACAGGAGAAAGTGGCATTTGTCTCACTAGCCACCAGATCACTGGGGTGTGAAGGACCAGCCGTTTTGGACCAGGTTGTGCTTTGGGCCTGGCTTGACTCTTAGGAGTTCAAAGGGAGTCTTAAAAGGTGTCACTCTTAAAATGCCTTTCCATCTAGAATCACTAAGGACTTTGGGGAAAAAAAATATTTATCTTTCTCTTTTTGCACAATGATAGCTTAATAATCTGAGGCATCAGCCTGCTGTAGTTCACACGGTCACAAAACTTAAAATGGGAAAAGGGAGGAATTACTAAAACTTAATTATCTACTTAATTAGCTGAGTGACTAAATGTCCAATTAGTACCAGCTTTTTACAAAAATTCAGTCAAAGCTAACTTGTGTTAAAGGAGGTCCAGGGGCAGCTAGGTAGCACAATGGATAGAGCACCAGCCCTGGAGTCAGGAAGACCTGAGTTCAAATCCAGTGTCAGACCATAACACCTTACTAGCTGTGTGACTCTCGGCAGGTCACTTAACCCCAATTGTCTTGCCAAAAAAAAAAAAACAAAATGAGGTCCAAATCCCTTTATTTCTCTAGGCCTGTTTCTGATCTTTATGGCCCGTTTTTCTAGAGATGTCAATGGGGATATTCATGTGGCAAAACTATTAAAATCACACAAATATATCACAAGAACTATTATTTAGCTCATTTGGCTTACTGGACCTCTACTCTGTGGGTCCAAGGGAAAATAACACATGACCCGTGTCCATGACGAATTTTCAATCCAGTTGGAGATGAAAGAACTACACAAATTAAACAATTAGTAGACTAGCAGGTACTCCTAAATATAATTGATAAACTATATAGTACAGACATTTATTCAACAGCTATTTATCAGTACTCCCTGAAACCTCCATTTGAGAAAGTTCCAGCACCAGCCATGCTTGCTTCAAACCTGTCAGCCTCTCAACTCTCCAAACTACTTTTCCACCTTTCCCCTACACTGATAAACACACACACACACACACACACACTTTTCAGCTCCCTTTTATGTGTTGTTTTCTCTCATTAGAAAATAAACTCCTTGAGAGTAGCTGCTTGAATTTTTGCTTGTATTTGTATTCACAGCACTTATAGTACCTGGCATACAGTAAATATTTAATAAATGCTTTCCTATCTACTTGCTATGTGCAAAGTATGCATAAAACCTAAAACACAGGTCTGATCATCACACACACACACACACTCACACACACCCTCAGTAAACTCCAGTGGTTTCATATTGCCTTCAGGAGCAAATACATTGAAAGCCCTTCATAACCTAGCCCCCTCTTGCTTTCCAGTCTTCTTATACCTTACTCCCTGACATGTACTCTTTGATCCAGTGACACTGGCCTCTCAGCTATTCTACAAACAAGACACTCCATTTCTTCCTTTAAGTCCCTATCCTGTCTTAATCTCAGTGCTTTACTTCTTTTATTTCCTATTTATCCTGCATATAGCTTGCTTTCTATGTATTTGTTTGCGTGTTGACTTCTCCATTAGATTTTAAACTCCTTCAGGGGAGGGACAACAGTCTTTTGCCTCTTAGTATCTCCAGTGCTTAGCACCATACTTGGAACATAGCAGATGCTCAATAAATGGTTATTGAATTGAATAAAACCTTGAGGAACTACTTCTGAGTGACTGGGGACTGTATCCATTCCATATTCTGTGATCATTGTAGTTTGATCACGTTCAGTCCTGAGGAGGCAAGGAGGAAGGGAGAGAGTGAGGAAAGAAGGAAGGAAAGAAGAAAGAGAGAAAGAAAGAAAGGCTGGTTTATTAAGTTTCTACTATTTGCCAAGCACTGTACTACACATGGGCAGTGAGGTGGCTAACTGGATAGAGTTCCAGACTTGAAGTTAGGAAGACATCTTCCTGAGTTCAAATCTGGCCTCAAACACTTAACTCTGTGACCTGGACAAATCACTTAACCCTGTTTGCTTCAGTTTCTCATCTATAAAATGAGCTGGAGAAGGAAATGGCAATCCGTTCTAGTATCTTTGCCAAGAAAGCCCCAAAAGGGGCATGACTGAATAACAACAGCAAAAGTGCTAAATACTTTCCAAATATTTCACTTGATCTGCACAACAACCCTGTGAGGTAGGTACTATTATTATCCTCATTTTATAGTTGCGGGAATTGAGGCAGACAGAGATTAAGTGATTTGCCCTGGATCACACAGCTAGTAAGGAGGCCAGATTTGAACTCAGGTGCTCTAGACTTCTAGCCCAGTGCTCTAAGGCCTGAGGAAACCTGCCTCTAATGAAAGGAGTTCTCACATCCTGTTCTCACACATTATCATTATCATCTCCAACATACCAGAAACCATTTTACTTACAGTTCGAATCTACGGTCTTCCTTCAAAAAGGTGTAGTAAGAAGGTATTCAGTGTACAATATAAATTTACGTATGGGACCAATAAGAAGAAAATATCCCCTTATACTCCAAAATATTTATAGCAGCACTTTTCATGATGGCTACAAACTGGAAACAAATTAGAGGTCCATCAATTTAGGAACAGATAAACAAATTGTTGTACATGAATGTAATGGAATATTACTGTGCTGTAAGAAATTATATATGCAATGAATACAGAGAAGTATGGAAAGATCTATGTGAAATGATGCAGAGTGAAGTAAACATAGCCAAGAAAACAAGATACACAATGTAAATGTGTGAGGGATTGTCTGGTGTTTGCTACTGCCAAGTGACAGTTGTGGCAAGATGGGGTAGGAACAAGATATTAGGAAGTGACCGGAGGAGGCAGGGGCTGTGCTAGGCGGAGTTGTGGTGAACTGGGATGGGAATTGGATATGGAGAAGTAACCAGTGCTCACGCTCCCGAGACAGTGGGCAGTGCTATGTGGAGCTGTGATAAGCTGGGGAAGGAACAGGATACAAGGAAGTAGCCAGAGCACGTGCTCCTGAGGCAGGGGGCTGTGCCACGTGGGAGTGGGACGGCAGAGAACGAGTTCCCTTTGTCTAGTCCTCTCCCTAGGTGCAGCTCTAACCCCAGACACCTCCTTCTAGTATCTGGGTCTGACTTCCTGTGTCACGTGCTCTCCCTTTGTCTATGCTCTAACCCCAGACATCTCCTTTCTGTAACCGGTCCTAGCCTCCTGCGTCACGTCCTCTCCCTTGGTGCACTAAACCCAGACATCCCCTTCCGGTATCTGATCCTACAATCAATGACTAGTAGGCAGACTGAGGAGGAGGGGCTAAGTAGGTACTTAAGGAACAGTAGAGATCGAGCTTGCTCTCTCTTGCTTCTGCTCTCTTGCCCTGGCTTTCCTGCTTGGCCTTGCTGTGATGGCCTCTGAATAAAGCTCGAGTGTTTGCACCTCCTGATCGGGGCTCGTCTCTGTGTTTATCCGGGTGGGCACCGAAGACTGGTAAGTAGTATGATCCTGGCAGCCTGCTCCTTATAGGAGGAGAGTGCATGGCGCGACTGGCACATAAATGGGAAAAAAAATTATGCACCAAAAATAAAAAGTATAACAATTATAAAGATCAAACAAAGCTTGAACGAAGACATATGAGAAAATACTCCCAATCTACTCCTTTGTTGGATCGCACACAGGTGTTATACATTACACATATTTTTGGACTTTTTCAGTGCATTGATTAATTGTGCTGATTTTTTTCTTCTCTCTGAAAAAAAATTCTATTTGTCATGTGAGATGGCTCTCTAGGAAACTTGGGATAATGATGGTGACATAAGAAACAGACGATGTCAATGAAAATTTACCTTAAAAAATAAGTATACACGAAAAGAATGTGAAACATGGAACACAATTATACATTTGACAGAAACCCCCTAAAAACAGGATTCAGTAATTTAACTTATAACCACTGTTACAGTTGACTAAGAGGCTGTTACTTAAACCTCATCAGAACATAAATAATTTCTAGGACTGCCAATTAGGTATCTTATATTTCATCTTGGTCTTGCATAGTCAGAACTCCCAGCATATTTCTGCTAGTAAAGGCCAAGTTTGAGGAAATTCTGTCTTCTTCAGTGCAGAAGTTTTCCTAGCACTATCCTACCATTGCAACCAGCGTTTCCTTTCTTTGGACCCAAGATATCCAGGCTTCTCCACTTCATAAAGTTTCCCTAGAGTCTACACACATCCATCTTGGGCTGCGTGTTGTTTACAATCAGGAAGAAGAAACACAAAAACCCCAACCTAGGCTTAGGCATGCTTAGGCAGGAAATATGTTTAGCTGCCATCTCTTCATGGCTGAATGGAGAAGA